TTATTTGAGAGTTTTTTTTCTGCATTGAGAGTGCAATTATAGATTCTGAGATTAAAGATTGGAAAAATATGAGACGAGCATATTTTAGAATTCTTTGGATCTGTATCTTTTTTTTCTTTATCTTTTATCTGAAATTATCTTTAGTTTTAATAATTATTCATACAATAACAAGCACACAGTTTAATTAGCGAGTGCCATCTGTGTACATCTAGTTTTTATTTCTTCTCATTGATGGGCAGCCAAGCTACACCTGGCGGTACAAGAGATCCTGTAATTAGTGTCAAAAGTCCATTGAAGTCGTATAGTGAGTACACCTTGAGAATTACGATTTGTTCGTGTTTCAAAAAGGAAGCCTTTCTTTGTAGTATATACAGAATCATTAAAAGCAGCCAAATCACACTCCTACAATATTATATAGTTTGGTTTTTAAAAAAAAACGCATCGTAAATTCTTTTCTTCTTCACTGATTATAAATCGTGTCTCGATATTTCTTGTCTTCTCCAAAGTACGCCACTGTCCCACCACTACCGTTAGAATTAGAGTCCTGGCTTTAGAATTGATTAGGTTCAGTAGCCCGTCGGTCTCTTCAAATCATTCTTCCCAAAAGCAGATCAGTATTACTGATTCCGCTTGCCGTTTCGTGGTCTCAGTTAGCGAAAACGTCTGCCCCACTGCGGCTATTAGTTACGGTATTCCTGTTTTACAGCACACTTATTAATAAGGCCGCGTTACATTAAACATTCCGTAATGCGATCTAATCCCGAACTTCAACATCGAGATTTATTTCAAGCGATCATAACGCAGGATTTTACGCGAATCCGCCTCGGTGGCCATTAGGTGAGCCGGCCAACGGATCCTGTGTAATTACGGCCCGGCTAATTGTTCTGGCTCGGTTACAGTGCGACAGAAACGAATGCGGTCACTCGAGCAATTTTTTTTTAAACATATTTTTATTTGTTATTACGTATTCGATCCCAGAATTAATGTCTCGGTGATTACGCTTAACCAAAACATTAGATGCCGGTTTAAGCGTAGGTTACGTTGAAGAAAATTAATGCAAATAACAATGGTGTAATCGAATAACAGAAGTCAACATTTTTTAGATTTATTTTCGGTCTGTTTGTTTGTCAGGTACATCTCCGGTACTAGGTACTTAATGCAGGGAACGATTTAGAAAATATGTGCTTTCTTTTACTAGAATCGGTTTTTGTAAAAAGGGTATCATCATTTAGAATTTTCGAGACTTTACTTTTTATACTTATTAGATAACTAGCGACCCGCCCTCGCTTCGCTTCGGAAACATTAAAATACACATGAAACCAAAAAAAGAAAAGAAAAAAAAAATTAAAAAAAAGTAGCCTATGTTCATCAGGGACAATGTCGGCTTCTAATGGAAAAAGAATTTTTCAAATCGGTCCAGTAGTTACGGAGCCTATTCGAAACAAACAAACAAACAAATCTTTCCTCTTTATAATATTAGTATAGATAAAAAGTTAAAAAAGTAATAATAGGGTTGTTATTGCGAATGTATGGTATAGATACGTCGGTTATGTTTTTAAGCTCAAATCATTGAACAAATTTTAATGAAATTCAGTAGGAACATGATTTTCAAAATAATATAATATGGGAAATAATATAGACTACCATTATCTCATTTGATAAGCACGGACTTTAGTAAAAAAAAATCTTGAAAACAATATTGCATTTAAATAACTAGATATTGTCGCACAATGATCTACTTAATTACATTTTTAGTCTCTTAACGAAACTTTAGGTCTGTACGATCTCTGTACTCCTTCAAGACGGTTCAAATACATAACACCAAGTACTAAGTAGCTATGATTAAAATTAGAATTCCATTCTTTTAGAACTACGCTTAACACTAAGCATATCATAATGGATCAAATGACCCATTTTGAACTTTAGCATTGAAAATGCACATATCATCTTATTACTTTTGCACATTTGACTTCATGGTATTTTCTTACCAATTAATGTACAGTTATTACACTCTTTTTATTTTTGAAGTTATACTTCTTTAGGCGCGTTACGAAAAATTGATGAGAGTGAAATTTTACGATGCGCGCGCACCGTGACACAAAATTAACAGAATGAAGTTGCCCACTAAATCGCTCATTACAATACGACCGACGTAACTTCGCGAGTCTGAATATAGCCGCAGGTGAACTTTCGCGCATGTACACTCGTAAAAAAAAAGTGTTATTAGCATTCATTTTTTAGTAATATAAATGACAAAATTATTATTTAATATAATTCATACTAAATATTTATTATTATTTAGTTAATATTAAAAAAAAAAGAAATAAATTTAATAAAAATAAAGTATAACTTCTTACGCGCGTACATAAGTACACGCACCCTTTTTTATTTTGAGTAATACTTGTCGTATACCGTTATCTACCCACTATGGGAGAAATAGGTACCAGTAGGTGTTAGTATGATTAGTGTTAAATAAGAAAAAGTTAATTTTTAATGCGAACGTTCGTCGTCTCCATGGAACCGAAATTCTCTCAGCGAATATGAATTTTGAAAACAGAATGTTTACGGAGTTCTCCGTTTATTGGTCGTTAAACGGCTCGAGTCGCGGCAGCCCGCCGTACCCGAAACGGATACGTCACGGCTACGTTCCGTAACGGAAACAATGACTTTACGACTAATACATTCGAAATACGGAAAAATACGCAGCTGGTTGGTTGGTTGGTGCGTTCTAGACGTTTCTTTTTTTTTGTTTGTTCACGTATTATGTAAACTAAACTGCTCGTTTTGAGGAACAATTTTCGTTATTGTTTTACTAATTACTTAAGTTAATCCTTACTTTTTACTAATCGAGCGACTTAACCCACAGACACAGCCCATCGAGTTTCTCGCCGGATCTTCTCAGTGGGCTGCGTTTCCGATCCGGTGGTAGATTTTGCGAAGCACTGCTCTTGCTAGGGCCAGTGTTAGCAACACTCCGGCTTGAACCCCGTGAGCTCACCTACACGTTAAGGCGAATCTGAAATAGCCTCTCAAGGCTATCACCATTGGTAGGAGAGAAAAAACCCGCCCGGCTTTGCTCTTTTATTTGAATTAGATTTGATAGCTTCGAAACTAAGAAGCACACACGCTAGGCCAATCTGAGGGTTTCCTGAAATTTTCATCGAAATCGTTCCAAAGTCTACAGGAAGCATACAAACAAACATACATCGACGTTTATGTATAGTTAGATTACAATGATTTTAAGAATGATCACATATTATTATTATTTTTACTGTTCTGAACATAATATGGCCGCGACCATGAGAAACAAACGTAATCCTTATTGTATAATCATTCATAAATAATTAATTGGAAAGTCGATCAGCAGAATTTAGTAAAATACATTTTTTTAATTCGTTACATAAACATTTCGTATCCTACGTAAGGTCCACATAAAATTGTAAGTAAATACTAACTTATCTATTTATTTAGATCGAAGTTTAATTGAAGAAAATACAGTCACAATCACGAACAGAACAGAAAAGAAAATATTAGATTAAATATATTAGAATATTAACAGATATATTTTTCTATATTAATAAATAAAAATTCACAATATGTAATCAAGCGTAGAATACATTTAGTAAAACACACATCGTCTTATCTTTATTGTGTTTCGCAGTCGTTTCAAATAATAATAACAATTAACTTAATTACTTGTATACATGTTTTTTATTATCATCGAAAGAACATTGATATCCGTTTAATTGAATATTGAATTGTGAACAGGTTTTATATTAGGCATCTGAAAAGTTACTGTTAATACTTTCAGCATTCAGTCGACTATATAGTTTTATAATTATAAAGAATTTTCCTTCTAGAAGGCTACAGAAAGACATTTATATTACTGATAGTTACACATTACCAGCTACCAATCTACTCTAAGCTGAAGAGTTTGTTTGAACGCGCTAATCTCAGGAACTACTGGTCCGATTTGATTCTGACTGACACTGAATTCTTTCAGTGCTAGATAGCCAATTTACTGAGGAAGGCTATATAACATCACGGTAAGACCAATACAAGTGGAGCACCAATAAAGAATGTTTCAAAATAGGGGTTTAAATAACTCCTTAACATTTTATAATTTAAAAATATTTACACTTTCTACGTAAATGAAGTAAGGGGTAAAATTTAGAGTTATGCCTATTCCACGCAGACGGAACCGCGGGCAAAAGCTAGTATCGACATAAAACTCAAGCGGGGCGTTATAATTCATTTTATTTGAATTTAAACGTTCATTCTGTCACTATTTGGGTATATGCACGATATTTAGGCTTGTCTTTTATTTTAGCCCCAAATCTGGTCAAATCGAATGGGACTTGGTTAAAATCTTAAAATATTTGTTTTGAAGTTTAAAAGATATAATGTAGTTGCGATTTTATTACAGCCTGATGGGAAAATTAGGAAAGATATAAAAAGAGCACAAAATATAGAAAATATTATAAAAAAGAAAACTGTACATCGCGGTTGACTTTGTAGAATACCATTGATTTAATGTAAAAACGAAACTGCGCTATTCGACTTTGGCTTATAAGTCGTTGACTTACTGTGTGAAAAGGATGCTTAAGTTTATCGTTGCAAAATGCTAAAATAGATATTCATTGAATAAAAATATCGCATTTTATATTTCAGATATTATCAATGAATGTCTCTACGAGGGCCCTCTTAGTGTGTTTTTTGTTCACGTTGTATGATTTATTTTGTTGTAGATAAAAAAATAAACGCGAATTGGCAAAGCGAATTCTCTATTTATACATTTGAAAGCAATAACCAATTTATTTACATTCGATCACTGCTAATGCTTTTAAAATCACTCTTTAAAACGAAAGGTATAAAGTAGCATTTACATTGTGCTATTTAATACACAACGTAATAAAACGGAGAGCGCCGCTGGTGTACTCTGTCGTCCCGAACGGAATTGCTCAGCATTTAGCAGCGTGACTCTCTTGTTTGGTCATCAGATTTGAATCCCGATTATCTGGAGATGGGTTTCCGTGGCGGTGGTACCCTGGGCTCCACGTCCAGAACTAAGCGCATGCGTACGAGCTTCAAGCACCACCAACTGAGGACAATGAAGTCCTACTTCGCGATCAACCACAACCCTGACGCTAAAGATCTGAAGCAGCTCAGCCAAAAGACTGGACTGCCGAAACGTGTTCTGCAGGTAATGAAAACCCAATCTACCCAATATAATTTTAGAATATTTTTTTATTACTGATTACACTTTTCATTAAACTATAAAATTGTACCATACATTTTTTTCTTTTCGCAATTCCTACTATCATTAATGATAATAATGCGATACTAATTGCAATTGTTTATTAATAAAGCAATAAAATGTAATCTCATTCATAATGAATACCTGAGAGTTATTTCATGTCCCAGCAAAGTATCAAGAAATTTATTGCAAACACAACTAGTATTCTTTTATTACGATAAAATTTTTAATAATAAATATTAGCAAAACTATTAACGATGGATTCGGAGACAATAACAGGAAAAAAACATTTTCCCCAATTTTTTTATTATTTAGGCATCTCCTTTATCTCCCGAGTCTATTTATTTTAGGTAGCTATTGACGGATAATACCAAAAAATATATATTAAATACAACAAATTAATTAAATTGAAGTCTTGTTATGTTAGTGATTATGGTTGAAATTCGACGGGCGGGCAAAACCGAGTTCAATAAAAAAATAGGTTAATAATACACTCAATTCGTACTCTTGACAGAACGTAAGGAGCCTCGGATAATTCCTTCGATTCCCGTTTTCCTTGACGGAATATGAATCCAGAAAATAACAGTTAGTATTATCTTGTCTATTAAAATAGCTCAGTAATTTATTCACGTTTCCGCTTCTTGAATGTTTTCCCGGTCGTTCTGTAATTAAATATTATAAATTTTCTAATCAATGTTTAATATTATAAATTTAATATTACTATAAATAATTTATCGGAATCGGTTTGGTCACAGGAGTTCCACGAACAAGGTTATCGTCAGGTTATCAACGTAGATTATAATGAACACGTACTAAATGTAGGTCTTATAATAATGTTTCGTAAAAAAACAGGTCATATTTAATACATCGACGCTTGAAAGGCAAACATGACTAAGCGACAATGCGTGAAATTTACAGTAGACTAATTTAAAGTTGAAATTAATTTAAAATATACATGAGAAATACCTGAAAAAAAATCTATTTTAACGAATCTAGCTGTAGGATTGAAATGATTTTAACAGACCTAGAAATATATTCTTTTTGCGCATCGAATATGGTTATTGCCTATCATTTATGTACAAAGCAGTTATTGTCGCTTAGTCACTTTTGCCTTTCAAGCGTCGACATATTTTCTTAAACCTTCGCGTGCGTGAAGCCAGAGCGACTCTTGTTTTACATCCCGATTATAGGTAGGTACATCGTAAATTGGCTTAGTTTCGGGTACTTAAAACTTGTAAAGAATTATTTATTTTGGTCCACCATTACCGTTGCGTGTATAGACGAAGGGTATAATTGATAATCATTAATTTGTAAGGTTTCATCTTATCTATAAATAATGTTAGACTTGTTTAGAATTGAATAGATTTTAAATGTTAGTTTTCAACGATACTATTATAATACATTAGTTCAATTTTGACTGTACATTAATAATCGTATAAGCTCAATGAGTCTTTAGGATGATTTCATTCAGTGTGGTCAATTTCTAAACTCAGAAACCCAATGAAATTCTCGTCGGATCTTCTCAATGAGTAGCGTTTCCGATCCGGTGGTAGATTCTACGAAGCACTGCTCTGCTAGGACTAGTGTTAGCAAATTCTATTATGTAATTTTATTTTTTTCAATTCTTTCGAAACAGTTAATTTATATAATTGATAACGTTGTGATAAAAGGAAACACTTTAATATGAAAAGTGCTGTTTGTTATGAATGAGAATATTTTTTAATTACTTGTTTTTTTATTTAAATTATATTTGAAAATAGCTCTAATGAAAATAATTACCGGTGAGTCTTAATTTTAGGTACACTTCGTTACGAAATCTATTCGGTTTAATTAAAACTACAAAATTTATAACATATTTTATATGGTATATATTTATATGGTATAATCATTTTTATAATACAAATGAAAAGTGTGGCAGTAATGGCTTAAAGCGTTTGCATGAAATATTAATAAAGTAAATTTAAATTCAGAATTTCGTTCGGAAATAAATTTATCTACCGCGAAATAAAAAAAATCGATTCAAAATTATATTTATTATCGATACTTCTTGCAAACGCCACGAGACGTGTCCAGTGGCATGTTAGCTCCGACTTGCTGGACCGTGAGTGTCTCTGGAACCGGTAGTTAAAAGCTAATGCGAATTTAATGTAACCGATATCGATTCACTTTGCTTTTTACCGAGTTATCGACAGCTTTGCGAATAAATGTTTTTATTTAACCTTCTTTTTTTTGCAGCACTAATTCTTTTGTACTTTTCATTTTTATTTTAGGCTCGTGTATTGATGGTACGTAATGGAGTAATATTTTAGATTTTAATTGACTTTTTTTTATTTTATATCTAGGTGTTGTTTTTAGGAGAAAGCCATAGTGACAAATGACGGTAAGTCGCAAGTTACATGAAAAGACTGCGAGTAAATCGTTTTCATTGACCAGATGATCAGATGAGCTCGTAACCTCAAAGCTAATCGAAGCTCATTCGCGTTGGACTGTTTTAACTACACTAAATATATTATCCAGTACTTCTAATTATGAAGGAAAGAAGGCAGTGACCTATTCATGCAGTCGAATAATAAGTCCCATAATCGCACTTAACTTCAGTTGAGTCGTGAGTTCATTTGCTCGTTTATCGTAATAGTTTATCAATAAAACTATCTTCTTGCAGTTCTTCTTAAAATATAGATTTGTAAACAAAATAATCTAGAGCCACTACATCATTTATTAAATTTACAGCTCCGAATAGTGTTTTGGATTGTAAGGCGTTTGATGAAATGGTGTTTATCTTTCAAAACCTGTCGATTTTGTTTCGAGGTGCGAGCGTGATGCTGCCGCCTGCGGTTTCATCTTCATCATTATAAGGTATCATTAGTAGATTTTCATGTGTTTATAGGTGTTTTTTTTTGTTTAAATCGTTTTGATATTTTTCATTTAGGTTTTGTGGCGGCAACGCGACATCTCCGTTTGTCACTTTCGAAGGTAAGTAAACAAAAAAAACATATTACGTATTGAACTTTTATTTGGAAGATTTTTTGTTTTTTTGTTGTTTTAACAGATCTTATGAATGTTGTAAATGACTACCAATACATTTGAGTAATCTTTCATAAATCAGAAGGACACGAGGAAATCAGTCGAGGCTTCTTGCAAAAATCGCTTTTTTTAGTATGTGTGTGTATTTCCAAATATAAACTTTTTAGATCATAGGTCTAAATGAAATGAAAATTTGACAGAAAATTTGTAGAATTATTACTAACAAATATAACTATGAACTGCCATTAAAAAAGAAGCTTGAAAGATCTGTCAACGAAGAAATCAGAGTGCATTCAAAAATACACACATTATGAACACAGTGTCTCCATTTTTAATGTCGGTTAAAGTAACAATAAAAAGTATTCTGCGTGTGGTTCTTCAATTTGCAAGTTAATTTCCACGTTCCGAGTCAATTTGGATGTATTTAGCCAGAATTTCACGTACATATGTATATTGGAGCAAAAATATTTTTTGCATTATTCCTTCTTTGTCGAAGTCGTTTATAAAGACGCACTAGGTTGGTATCTACTTAAAAACAATTGGTAGGTACTTGCCAGAAGAAATGCACCTTAGTATCGTTGCGTTATTAGAGCAGGCCACGACCCTCGGCACTGAGGATTATCGATGCAAGGAGGAAAGATCCTAGCGACTATACGAAGGCATAAATGCTTGTAATTGCGGTCTTCCAAGTCGGTTGTTAGTCGGAATTTTTTTATTTTTTTGTTGCTTAGGTTGGTGGACGAGCTCACATTTACAACGTAAATGCGCCACTCACCTTGAGATATAAGTTCTAAGGTCTCAGTATAGTTACAACGGCTGCCCCTACTCTTCAAACCGAAACGCATTACTGCTTACGGCAGAAATAGGCAGGGTGGTTGTCAGGGTCGTCGTGGTTGCTTTGACAATGTACATGCAGAAGTAAGTGCTTGGGGCGCCCATGTTCCCGAGGATTATCTTCCTGGTGATGCGCTTATGGCAATCTGAACGCACTTTAAAGCCTGGTTTCGTAATTAATTCACTGTGGTTCAGGGCCCGCTTGAATGTGGTCGAAATAATACCTGCTAATGTACCGTACTCAGTGTAGTTCTGTCGGGGAAACAAAACGTGGCCACTGACATTCCATTTGGAACGGTCCAGTTGTATTAAAAGCGAGTCGTTGTTGACATAAGATTGCTGCACCGCATTGCTTCGCCCGCTAATACGCTGCACACACATCGGTGTTTCTCGACAATTTAGCGCTCCGTATTGCGTCTAATTTGTTTGCCAGCGGCGGCCCTTTAATGTAGGGCTCCGGCGCCTTCAAAGGGACCTCCTTTGTTTCTGCAATTACATTCCACCCTAAAAACGTTTAGAGTTACGTAACACATGTCTTTATTCGTTTTCCTGTGTCTAACCGTTCGTTTGTTCTAAGTGGTGCTTTTAGGTACCACAAGCACCGGTCACCGTCCTCGTCGAACCCGTCGCTTGTGATGAAGGGCTCGACGAGAGAATTAACCCATAGACACAGTCCATTGAGTTCCTCGCCGGATCTTCTCAGTGGGTTGCGTTTCCGATCCGGTGGTAGATTCTGCGAAGCACTGCTCTTGCTAGAGTCAGTGTTAGCATCGCTCCAGTTTGAACCCCGTGAGCTCACCTACTAGTTAAGGTTACGCTGAAATAGCCTCTCAAGGCTCTCAGTTTAGATAGGAAAAGAAAAAAGTTCTAAGTTAGGTATTATTATTATTACGTGATTTTGCTAGGTTTCATCTCTAAACACAAATTGCTTGTTTTATAATATCGATTAATCTGTTTCCTGTTAATGTTTCAACGACACTTCAGTTTCGACTAACAGACATGAGAGTTTCAACAACAAACTTGCAATCTTTAATAATCAAATGATAAGTATATTCAAAAAATTACATAAAGGGGAACGCGACGCGGGA